AAGTCTGGATTTGGCAAAGCACACTTAGAGCAATACGGGACCACAGTCTGTGATAATAGTTTACCTTTGAAGCAGAAGCACTATCCGATATCACCAGCGATTCAATAATTAGTCTACGGCGAGCTCGGTCGTTCCGTCGAACCGCCTATGTCTAGATGTGCGCAAGGTGAATCAAAGAACTGTTAAAGAGGCTTATCCACTGCCACATATAGAAGGTCTGCTTAGTCGCCTGCAATACACCTGCAATACCTCCGCAATCGAATTGAAAGACGCCTTTTAGAAGATTCCATGAGAAAAAGTTGCACGAGAGAAGAGAGCATTTACTGTACCAGGGTGAGCTCTATAACAATTTACTGTAATGCTATTCGGGTTGTGCAACGCGCACAGCACATGTGCAGGTTAATGAAGAAAGTCATATCAGGATGTTTAGCTGAAAATGTTTTCCTTTACACTGACGACTTGTTAGTTCGCTTGCCAGACTTTAAACACCATTTAATATACTTACCTATGGTTGCATAGTCTTTAAAGGTTGCCAATTTAACCATTTATGTCAGTAAAAGCCGTTTCTGTCATAAAGAAGTGAAGCATCTCGGTTTTATAGCGGGAAATGGGCATCTGAAAACGGATCCTGAGAAGGCAGAGGCCATGTTTGTAATGTTTAAACCTAAACAACTCCGAAGATTTCTTGGCATGACGATTGTCTTATCAAAGATCGAATAAAGAAAATTTTACTATCAGATGAAGCCCTAATACCATTTGATCAGTTAAGAAGATGCCTTATCACTGCACCAGTTTTGGTTAAACCTGATTTCAAGAAGCGCTTTTATATTCAACGTGATGTATCTAGAGATGAAGTAGGAGGAGTATTATTTCAGAGAGGTGATGGCGGAAACGAAAGACAATTGGGTATATATCAGTAAAAGTTAGTAAATCGCAGAAACACTACACAGTGACGGAATTGGAGTGTTTTGCAGCTAAATTGACTGTTGAAAAGTTCAGGCCATACATCAAAGGGCTACCCTTTAGAGTTATTACCGATCATTCCAGTCTAAAATGGTTCATGTCTCATAAAGAATTATTTGGAAGACTAGCTAGATAGGGTCTTAAACTGCAGACGTTCGACTTTACTATTGAGCATCGCAAAGGAAACCAAAATACTGTTTCTGACACATATTCTCGTACGGGCGTAAATGAAATATTAGAGATGGACGATCTTCACATTTTATTTCTGAAATATATAATTAATTGAAACAGACTATTAAAGAGAATAAGGACAATCTACATTTATATCTGCGTATGAGATGGGTTAGTTTACAAAAAAAGAGACTTCAGTGAGGGATATGAAATATTGGATGATAATATACATACACTCCACTGGGATGGCAACTCAGGTACAAAATACAGTCAAGAACTGTGGATTATGTCGATGCAATAAAACCGGTAAAACTCAAAGCCCGCCAAAGGGGAAGCAACAAGTCACTGAAAGACGAACTAAAAATGGAGGCAAGACTATTTTTGTTTGTTTAGATCATTTTTCAAAATTCAGGTATGTTAAATGCCTGGAACATGAGGTTTTCCATATATTTTGAGTACCTGAAACGATACATTCTGACAACGGCAACCAGTTTATCTCAATAACTTTTCTCTAAGAAGTGCCACATCTTATCAGACATGACACCATTATATTCTTTGCTTTGTTTGCAGCGTGGATCCTCTTACAAAATAACTGGAAAACTGGATAACATCAAGAATAATAATTTCAGTGTTAGTATGATGCCAAAAAAAATGCGTCTCGCAAGAGATATAATCACTAAACAGCTGAAAGAAACGTGAAGTAGGCGAATTCAACTTGAAGCTGGATAGACAGTGTATAGAAAAAATTTCGGTCTGAGTAAAGTGGTTGAAGGTTATAAAACGAAATTAGCTCCGGCAAATATTCAAAGCATGGTTACGAAAGTAATAGGAATTTCTCTTTACGAACTCAGTGCAGGAAGTATGCTAAGAGTTTACTACATCAAAAACATGTTTTCCGTTTGTGCACCCTTTAATCTTAGGAACGCCCGCGTAGCCCAGTCGGTAGAGCATGAGAATCTCAATCTCATACCGTGCGTCGAGACCACACGTGTTTTTTAATTTGTCGAGTTGACGTAAATTCTGTCCACGTACTATTTTACGTACACATTCTATATCGCCAGCGATATCCATGGGTCCGGGCGTCCGCGTATATACGTGTAAGGGGTTTCTTCGGTCGGCTCGTTCTCTGCTCTTCACAAAAAGAGGTGCGTAAATGTAATGAGATCACTATTGCTATGGCATTCAATAAACTTCCAAAAAAAAAAATGACGAATATAAAATACCTTTGTAAAGATAGTATTTAAATAGCTTAGGGCGAGATTCATACAAGAATAAGATCTATTAAAGCATACTTTAATATCCCCATAAATTAACAAAAACATCGTTGTATAAATGAAAGATAACAAAATCAAGCAAAATAAATTAAATTAAGAAAAAAAATCAATCAAGTGTTTGAATACAGCTCCAAAGGTAGGCTTGGCTTACTGTTGGTGATAGAGGACGTCATCAGATTAAAACATTTTACGATTTTACCGAAACTAATTACGGGTCATGTTTTGGCTGTACTAGATATCAAGTAAGAAGTAACTCACATTAAAAAATAACAAACATCGTGAACTAAATGTATAGTAGGTTTCGCGACGATGAAGTATAAGTGTGTGTGTGTGTGTGTGTGTGTGCCTAACCATGTGTAACCATAGACAATGAAGTGACGGACCAACAGCTACGTGGGTGTAGACTAACAGATAAAAGAACAGTACTAACAGACTATAAGGCTATTAGATATGACACTCAGTTGTATATTTATCATTTTTATATATACAAATTTTCTCTTTTTTTGGTTAGCCAGGCGGTGCAAATAAAACCCAAGCTCTACACACCATCACACATATTTAGGAAACCTGTCAAATTTATCCCTGAATAACACAAATAAAGAAATTTGAAGAATAAACGATTACAAATTTATCATATTATAAATTTATAAATTACGATCAAGCTAGAGCCATATTTTGCAATTAGTTCCCCACCCTTTCCTTAACGAATTACACTGGCAATTGTCAATGCCAAGCCATCTAGTTTTAAAGCAGTTGGGTTGGTGATAGATTCACCAAACGAACGGTGAAGTTTCCCTGTTCCATCCCAGCGGGACATTGGGACATATATAGAACACAGTACATAAATATTGAACAAAGCTGATGAGATGTCGAGCGATTTGACCTTCCAGAGTCAACAAATATTTTGTAGACGAATTTTGGAGCACCGCTAGCCCATCTCCTTCTATTTATAAACACCTACTTACAATGTGGATCAGTAAGGAATATGCCAATGTTAGTTTCGTCACGACAATCAATCAATACAATAATATATTACTGAAGTGAAGCTAGTCCACTGTCGCTAGCCCACATTTTAGCGAAGACAAAAAAATGGGCTAACTACACTCTTGGGTAACCACCTTTGCTAAGATAATTGATACTACAAAATCATTAGAAAAACTAAAAAAAAATAGAAATACAAGCATAAATGAAATAAGAAATTATACAGAAATGTTATAAGAAACTAAAAAAAAATTTTTCATTGTATTTACCGTATCACCTCGAAATTAGCCAAAAACCGGCTCTCCAAAACACTAAATTAGTGATAAAAATTTTTTAAAAATAAGCCATCCGCAGTTTTTTGATATATCTTGAAGGACGCTTAAATCTATCAGGAAAACCGAAGTTCATTACCCTGTATAGGGTCCATCACCTCGAAATTAGCAAAACCCCGCTCTCTCCATATACCCAAAACACTAAATTAGTGATAAAAATTTTTTAAGAAATAAGCCATCCGCAGTTTTTTGATGTATCTAAAAGGGCGCTAAAAGTTTTTTTCGTTTTAGATTGTTTCCGTATTAAATTAACTTTGTACAAGCGTTCTGACTAATCGAACATAGTTTTATTTGCCAACATGTTTAGGCAACTGTAGCAACCATCTTTTCCCAAATTAATAGTTCAAAATATTTCAACTTAAAGAAATTTTTCTATATATATTTGTATGTATTATTATTATTATTATCAATTTCGCCAGAGAAATAAATTCTAAGACTAAACTCTTAAAAGCACTAGCATCTAAGGCTATCGGCTTTTTTTTTTTTTTTTTTTTTATTATTATATTTGTATGCAAATACTATGTTTTGACTGAAAAAGGACAAATACGCGCATGAATGTACACAGTATGTTTGCTTAAGTATTACCATATTATTTTTTTAATCTTATTATAAAATATATAAATAGTAAAAAATGTATAAATAGTATAATTGTGTTCATATATGTCTTTATTTTATCAAAAATGTAAACTTAAGCCTAATTTAACTGTATCTATTATTTTTTTTATAGATTTTATATAAAACATACACAATCGGATATAGACTTACAATTCTTAGAGATAATTTAATTTTTTACGCAATATCAGCTAATGCGGATAGTGTTAACGAATCACGTGATTTTAGACATAAATATTGTCTACCGTATCGATTAATAGAGACTAGATTCATTCACAGTTTGTTATGAACATGGAAATACAAAAATTTTTACGGCTTTGAAGACCATAGAAAAATTGAACGGCATATAAGTTTGCTAAAGTTCGTAAATTGAACAAGCCAATAGAAAAAATATAAAGTTGTAATAGTATTTTTAAGTGATATTAATGATATGCTGAATATTAACTAAAATAATTAAGGCATAATAAAAATAGAAAGAAGTTCTTTTGAAGTATAGGTGTTTTTGTTAGTCTTTACATGGACAGCTACGGTACTCTTCATATCATATAAATTTAACTGATCCGCCTGAGTAGCCGAGTAGGCAAGAGTCTCGACTAGCAACTCAATGGTCGCGGGTTCAAATCTCAAGTGCGGTATAGTTTTTAATAAAGCCGAAAGCCTTAGATGCTAGTGCTTTAAGACATTAGTCTTAGAATTTATCCTCTGGCTAAATTTCTAATAATAATAATAATAATAATAACTGATACGAAGAAAAATGTTGTTCTCAATATTAAGGACATCTTTTCGTTTGGCTCACAACTCGCTGAATTACGTAGTAGAAAACCCAAAGAATCTTAATAAACTTAAATCCCTTATTGAAATGAAATCGGCTTCTATTGTACCTTTCTTTTAGCGTCGCAAAAATGAAGGAAACGATATGATTTTGCTACATATTCATAGAATTGTAAAACGAGCGTGGTTCCTACGCAGACAATCTCGTAATGCCTCGACGACTAACTCTAACAAAAATTAAATATTTTAAAACATTCATTAATATCTTATAGGTTATAGCAGTTACCTTATTAATTTACTTCGCCTCGTGCTTTTTGATTCACTACACTGGTGCAAATCTTACCCTCTAAATTAGTCTCTACTCTTCTTTGTTACTGAACGAATTTAGATGATAATCTGTCTTAAAACTCGCTGGAGTTTTTGTAATCAGGAAAGTTTGAAAAAATTGAGGATGTTGATTCGTTGAAGTGCAATTCTTCAATTTTCGTTTGGAATACTTAATGACCATTGAACTTTCTTTCATAACAAAAAGTTTACCTAGTCACATATTTCGGTCCGGCAAGTATTGAAGAATGATATACAACGAAGCTTTTAATAATTTTTAAAGGTTAAAACTTCCAAAACGATAAAGATTCCTTCTGGCTTCTTGGTTTTTAATGTTCTTCAATATAGCCATACGACTGACTACTCTTTCGTCCGAAAGAATACAAATTTTGCTCGACATGTTTACCGGAATTTAATTATAATTTTCGTATAGAACAGATATCCACTTTTGTCGCTTTAGCGTACGTATATGTATATATATATACATACACATTTAACCGGGCTTTCTTTGTTCAACTTGGATCTGTATTACTAAATTAATTATTGGATATCGTTAAATTAGTTGACTCTACTTTACTATATATATATATATATATATATATATATATATATATATACATACATATGTATTTATATTTTGTATACATTTATGACCAATCACTCAGGGGACGTCCCCTATTTGTGTAATACGATGATTGTCGCAAAGAAGTGAGGAGAGATGAGAGACAGGTTAAGTGTATATAGTAGTAGTGTAAACATAATGTACATAGAACAACTACGTAAACTTATATATCGTACGGTTTAATGGCGGTTGAACGTAAACGATTGTATAGATCACGCAATCATATGCACTACGTGATATACACACAAAGCGCAACATGCAGTCAAACACAGATAAGGCGTAATAACGTAATGAAACGTTTATTATTCAGACAGTTGTAGTGTGCAGTTTTATAATTTACTTTTGGTCTTTTGTTCATCAAACATTTTAAATTACGGTATTTTTAGAATCTGAAGGAGAGAAAAACAGAGACGGAGACAGAGGTAGTGATTCAAATGCCTACAAAACTTTTCTTCAATTCCACCTCTCCATTTGCATTAGCTGCGCAATCATATTTAAACAAACATACATTTTATGTGTCGGAGCGTTCTTATATTCTTTTCATTATAAGCATATGCAAATATGTTCACGAAGGGAGCTTTTGAATATACAATTTGCGGTTAAAGTTTTTACGAAACTTTTACAACTAACAGGAGAAAGTTTTTAGCTAACTGCTTTTCATACCCATCAACGCGCATAAGATTATATTTATTACGTTGTAACGTGGGAACGCCTGCAAGACGCCCAATTCTGATCTTATGTACGCATGTCTCTTCGTCTGTGTGGACGCGTTTGATAAAAATTCCCCGGTCCCAAAAATCAACATATCAACTTCAAATATGGGAAAAACCCCAGTTCTCTCGCACAAGTTTTTGAAAATGAACCATATCGGTCAAAAGGACTATTGTATTGCCACACAAACTGAATGCACCTCTTTTTTCAAAACCCAAAAAAAAAAAAAAATGGATTTATTTTTCTCTACATACAAACTGGAGCACATATAAGGAAAAAAACCTCCCTTATATTATCATGCCTCCAATATTAACGAGAGCTAATATATCATCTTTTTTTTAAGTTAAAGGTGGTGATTACAAAAGAATAATTTTCTTACTTGTTTAAAATTTAAATTAATATTTCAGTTCGCTTGAAGAGATTGCTTCGCTTGTAGGCAGAAATAGTAGCATCATGGGTTTATTGACGCATTGCAAGTGCACTTATTACTGTGAAAACACGTAATAACATTTGAGATTGTATACGCTAACTTGTCGATATTATTGGTATATGGTACCCCGAACAAAGCACACGCTACTATCAAAGCAAAAATCCATATTTGCAATTTCATTTAATGGAGAGCCATAGTGGCTGCTCTTAGGTGAAGTGACGCGTTTGATAATAAAGACGGCAAGACTAAGTACGATATTGCATACACATTTACAAAGGTTTTCGTCGATTTTTTTTTTCACCTTTATCTCGGGTTGTAGGCAGCTTCGTTTTGGCGATTTTGTCGTTAAAATCTAACTCAGCTTCGCATTTAGTGTCTTGCTAGGAGGATTGATTTATCTTTTTCTCAAAGTGGTTCAAAACATCTAAAGTTCACACTGTCACATCACCGTTAGTTCGTGGTTGCATAAAAGTTACTCTTTTCTGCGCGAATTTATTATATCTATTGTAGCTCTTTTGTTTCGCTTTCTGTAGTATTTTTGGGCTTAAGCAGTGCAGAAGGGGGAAAAAAGAGTAATACTAGTACTGAACAATTTAGGAATCCTTACAGCATATACTTACAACATATTCGCCTTTTTGTTAATTCTGAATTCTTTCTCTCTTTTGGTGTTCTTACTACTAGTGTTTCCCGTTATGTTAATGTTACGAGTTCGAAAAATTTTACGTTTTATCAGAATAAAACACACTTTTTGTACCTTAACTTTATTCTCTTGATATCCGGTTCCAATATTTCTGTGTTTTGGTAAAATCGTTAACGTTACATTTACGTTAATAAACCTTGTGATCTTTAAAAAACTTGCAATTGATAAAATTCAAACTTGTCTTGTATTAACGGTTACGTACCGAAATAAACACAATGTTGTCCTTATAATTTGGTTTCTTGTTGAATTGAGCGCCAAACTGTTGTGCATGTCCCGGTTTCTATTAAGTTGCTTGCAATATATAATATTTTCATTAGCTATAATTTTTATGTTTTGTGTTTTATCACCTGCAGCAAGAGAATGAATGGCTTAGTAAGGTCAACTACGACAAAATTGCGTCTTTACTATACCTAACCTTTGGTTTTCATCTTTACTATTTTTTGAGAAAAAATAAGCAATCAACCTGATTCAGTTTGGTGGCTATTCTCAAGCCTAGCTGCTAGTGATTGAGTATGCAATTTTAAAACATCACCAACAATACTTTCTAAAGTTTCTGTTGCATGTATGGCCTCGTTTTTGTTTAGGAATGTTACCTGCGTCGCCACATAATCATTATGTTCACTTCTATCTGTGCTGCACAAACTGCTAATAATCGCCGTAGCGTGTCGTTTGTAAAGTGTACTTGCTAATCGTACTGGCACCGTTGACAATACAGTACTAAATTCCCCTGGGCGACGACCCGACAAATAAAGTGTAACTACACTAGATTGCGGTTGTACTGGTTCCACTTGTGGTTTGCGTTTATGACTTTTTCCAGACTTCCTTGCTTTTTTGCGGCTTGGTTTCTGATTGTGAGTTTGCGCAACTAATGTTATATCATCAATGTTTAGGCCACTGCCTGAAGCAATGTCGTCGTCATCATTTAAGTCTCTCCCTCGATTAGAGAGACGGACATTATTGATAGCTTCTAGTTGTTGCAAACTCTCACCATTTAAATATAACCGTGAAGGTATTATGTTCAAAAGGGCTGCTCCTAATTGACCACTTACATCTGAATGAGGGACTTGTTGTGGTAGCAACAGTTGCTGGAGTAGAAGACTGTTGGCAGCAATCTGTGTTTGAGGTAATATTTGGGGCATTAAAGTTGGCGTTGTAATAATGGTATCAGTAATAAATTCGGTAGCGGTAATGGTTTGGGCAGTAGTGTCATAGATCGTAGTTAAAATTTTTTTTCCTTGAAAAGTAACGGGCAAAATGGTGGATTTGCCTTCATAGACAGTAGTAATGTAAGTGGAAGCGTGCGTACGATATTCTGTCACGGGATTGATATTGCTAGTCATCACTAAACCGACCGATTGAGTCAGAGCTTCGCTTAAAGCTTCAAGTAGTGGATTTGCCGTCTGAAGACCTCCTTGACCTAGTAGTAGTTGGGATAACAATATATTAGCTAAAGGTACATTAGGAGATATCTTCGGTTGTATTGTAGAAACTACTTCTTCTACTGAGTACACGGTCGATGGTAAGATATGGGAAAAAGAAGTTTTACGCCCGCGTATGGTTGTCGGCGTGAATGTTACAGTAGTAGTGGGCTTTTCATGTAGAAAGTATTGAGTGAGTTTTGTTTCTCCGACATAGTTCACGGAGGAATCCTCACGCGTTAGCACTAGCTGCGTTTGACCGTTGACATTCGTGAAGCTAGTATACTGTTTCGGTCCTAGCACCTCGCTGTAAGTTTTAGCTGTTACTAATAATTTATATTCAGTTACTTTTCCATCGACAATTGGAACAGTGACACTTGTCGGTACTCTATAAGTAACTGTTATGGTGTCACTATTATCAAATATTAAGAGCTCTGATTTTATGTCGTTATTTGTACGTGCGCGATTATTTGCTGAGTTGCGTGGGGAGGTGGTACGTACGCGGCCGCTTGCTAAATTACCGGTGCGCGTCCGTGTTGATATTGAATCACGTGTATGAGGCAAGGAGTCCACCTTAGTCTTTAATCGGCGGTGGCCGTTGGTAGTGTTTAACGTTGAAGATACAGATGGATAAATAGACATAGCGGCTCCAGGCTGACTTCGCCGAAAACCGGCGCGGCTCTTTTGCGTACGTGGGGTTGTTGTTGTAGAATCCTTTTCACGCAATGTGAATTGAGCTCTTGCTCCACTAGTCGGACGCGTGGGCCTTATAGGCCTATTTAAAATTAAGCTTTCGGTTTTTATTGAAGTCGATTGTAGGTTTTGAAGACGCCCATTTAAGCGGGATCCTACTCGTTTACGAGCATAAGCGTTTGTTCGAGCAGTAAAGAATGTGTTGTTATTATCGGCGTTCTGATCAGCATAGCTACGAGTCTCAGCTTGAATTGCTGACGTTTTCATTGGCCTTCTAAAACGATTACGAAAATTACTAACACTTTTTACAGTGTTATCTGCTTCGCGTTTTGCTCGCCAATTTTCATTATCTGTGAAAAAACTCAGGCTCGACTTTTTGCTCGATCGTCGTCTTCTAAATATATCTTCTACGTCGTCCTCTTCAAGTATTTCATCTTCGTCTTCTTCTTCATATTCAGAATCTTCATCATTTTCATTGCCTTTGCTTAAATTTTCGTCGAATGACGGAGTGTCTTCACTGTTTTGTGAATTTACTTGGTCTATAAAAGGTCTTTGAGTTCCGAAAATATTACGAGTCGGAAATAAGCTATTGGAAAAACGTGATCTGTTCTGGAAAGTGCTTGCTGCAACATGGCGCTGGAAACTTTTTGGGCGAGGTTTAAGTGTAGTTGGTATACTTGTCGTTGTCGTGACTGTCGAAGAACGGAAGCGACTAAGTCGCCGCAAGAAGCCTGGGCTCACATTAGAATAAGGTGAACGTACTGGAGTGGCGCTAGATCCATTAGATAGAGGTCGCCGGGCTCGTAATTTATTTTGTCTATTCAGCAGTGAGAGGGTATCATTTACATCATTCTCATCATGCAGAGGTAAATTTTCTTCATCATTTTGTTGCGAATTTGAATTCGCACCTGTGCGTAGTACAGATGTAAGCATTTCATCCAAATTTTGCGTTTGGGTCAGTGGGGGCTTAAGGCGAGAAAAGCGATTGTCGCTTGAAGAAAATATGCCGGATAGTGTTGGACGGTTTACAGATCCACTCAAGCGACGTAGATTTGTTGACACATTTATGCGGAACGACTGTTGTGAAAGTGCTGCATTAATTCGATTTAATCGGAGCTCAATGCTGCTAGATGGTGGTTTCCCAAGCCGTCCAAAACGTCGGGCGGATCCATAACCAGAAATTGTTGATGAAGGATTGCTGCTGTAACGGAAAGAAGTAAAACGGCTAGAAGACTTAAGAGCTGGCGTTGCAGTTATTGTTGGCGTAAAATCACTACGTGTGATAATAGTAGCGCTACTGGGGAATAAGCTACTTTTTTTTGGTGCAAATTGCGGTCGATTTCGACTTGCAAACGGCCTAATTGTAGGTGTGAATACTCGTTTCTTTGACTGAGTTAAGTAAGGTGGAGATGTTCTATCAATGTCTTTCATTTCAGATTCATTCAGTTTGTAATCAAAGCGGTACCGCTCTTCATTGCCTTCAATCAAAGACGAGTCCGACATTCCGATCGTAGGCCTCTGTATACTTTGAACAAAGCTATTAGTCAAAGTATTGCTCTCTCGAATAGAACTATCTGGCAGATCGCTGCTATGCTCGAAAATGAAACTAGACGTACTCTCAATTATTTGCGCATATCGTTGGTCAATTATTGTACCGATCACTCTGGATTGATACAAAGTAGTAGTCTTATTGCCGGTACGTGTTCCTTCTATTAAACGTACTAAACCGGTTTTATGTTGTTTTTGAATGTCAGTGCCTGATCGTTCAGAACTGATCATGGTTGAAAGCAGCGCCTTTTTAACTTCATCAACATATAAAGTGGAGGTACTGTTTACGAATTCTGAGAATTTTCCATGTTGATCAACCGTAGATTGTATTTGTGTGGTAAAGAATAAAGTAGAAATACCATCTGCATCTATAATTTTTTTAAGGTCATACGCTAATATACTAATGGAAGCTTTATCTGATCTTGCTGTTGATGACGGCAACAATTCTAAGAAAGCTGTGGTCGTTTGCCGAGCAAATGGTGCAGGCGTCAACGTAAGCGTCGGCGTGATTGCATTCGTTACGGTTTCTAAATGAGAATCCGTAATAGTATTATCTAATTCGTAGGACGTTGTGTAGAAGGTATAAGTGGTGTAATAAGTGGTTGGCTTTAAAACACTAGTCACAATAGAAAACACTACGTCAGTTCCCACGTTGTAACCACTTAGCTCAATATTTGGTTGGGTTTGATTTAAATAATCGGAGCTTGATTCGATGTTATAGGTATATAATGGTGAAGTTGTAATATTACTCTCTGCCGGTTCTTCTGTGAAAACTTTTGTGGGTATTACCACATTTGAAACTGTCTCTTCCCGGCTCACGGTGGTAATCTGACCGTCTCTAGCCAATTTTGTCCAATATGTGAATGTTGTAAAATATGTAATGGGCAAACTCGTTTCATCCAAATTTAAAGTTTTTGAAGATTTTAAAGTTTCGGTGTGGGTATTTGTGATAGTTTCCAAATGACTTATTATATTCGTCTTCCTACCACTATACATTGTCGTATAATAAGTAAAAGTCGTAAAGCTCGTTTGTAAGAGTAACGTGGCCGACGGCAAAACTTCATCATCTGTATTGCTTTCGGAACTGACTTGGTCATCTAGAGAAGATTGGTTAGGTTCAGAAATGTCAGATAATTTCAGATAAAATTCTTGATCGATTACATGTTGTTCACCTATGGAACTACTTGAACGCACATCTGTTATGAATGTTACTGCCGACGAATCCCCTATATCAGATATTATCGACACGTGCCTTTCTCCAGACGTGAACTTGTTTGTTTTGTTACCATGGCTACCTAGTGCGTTTTCTTCCTTATTCTGCATAAGCGTCGCCTCTGAGGGGCTTATATGTTCATTAGGTTGTGGAGGCAATAATGCATAGAGAGAGGTCTGCGTTTTAGAAGTTTTTGAAGCTTTTGTTGGCTTAACAAAATTGGTATGAATTTCAGTGTGCGACATTATTTCAGTTTCGTTATCTGCAAATATCGTCGTATAATATGTGTAGGTCGTATAAAAGGTTCTGAAAAAATTTCTTTGCTCAGCAGTGTCAGCATTAATTTCCGTTCTTGCTTCCGCGTTTTCTGCAAAATATTCTTCACTATCCGCATTTCTTTTTTCTTCGCTTTGTATATATGTATCTAGTTCTGTGGACAAAGTGTAGCGTGAAACCGCCGAGAATGATGTAAATTCACTTTTCTTCTTATTCTCCACTAGCTGTGTTAATGGTAATCTTTTATCATTTAAAGTAGAAGTAATGATATTTGTAACTACTTCTGTATGACTAGAAATACTTGTGTCTATTTCGTGGAAATAGGTGGTCAGATAAGTATAGGTAGTGTAAAGTGTCTTATATATAAGTTCAATTTCATCTTCCTCATCCGTTTCTAAAATATTTCCGGAAAATTTTGACTGTATTTCAGTGACGGGTTCCAAATCTAAATCTTTTACAATTAACTGGGATGCAATTTCCTTAAATGTAGGACTTTCAAATAAATTTGGAAGTTCACTTAAGACTCCGTCTAAAGTTTCTTCATCCTTTCGTTCTCTTCTTGTTGACGCTATGTCGGATATTAAAGCGTTAGCTTCATTTTCACTGATACCTATCGACACCGTGATACGTTCAATGCTCTTAGTTGGAGTTTCAATAGATATAAATGATGATAAGTTTGAAACCACAATTGGCTCCTCTTCATTTTTTGTATCGTATTTGCGTGTAGTTTGAACGCAATAATATTTAGTGGCCGAACCAATTTCAAAGTTTCCTACAATATGCGAATCCATTTCCTGGAATGGTTCGGTTGTAGTATTGTGTATATTCGCGCTTGTAATTAACTCCGTTATTATTCGTGGCGTTTGAGTCAGAAAAACTTGAGAGGTTCGTATACAGGCATCAATATCTACTTTGTCCTTGGATTTTATTTCTCTAATGATGCTATCCGGAATCGTTTTAGCTATCCCTGTTGCTGCTGAATTATTTATTGCTCTCGGTTCGTTCTTCAATATTGTGCTGATATCTCTAACAGATGAATAAAAGTTATCAGTTGTAAAAATTTCCATTGAGCTTTCGATAGGCTGATCTGCAAAACTTCGCTCGACTGTTTGCTTCTGGTCAAATGCGCGCGTTGCAAATGGAATTAAAATCGGGTCAAGGTTTGACTTTGCTAAAAAATTTGTAAATGGATCATCTTCGAAAAATATTGTGGTGGCGCCACCTAAGGTGCTGGGGTTCGTCTCTACATTGGCATATGTAATTGTATTACTTTCATTGAAGGAAGTTTTGGGGGCGAGGGTTGCCATTAATGTATCAGTTTCCACGATCACTAAGGCGGTAAAAATATCTAAAATTTGGTCATTCGACGGATGGGAAAGTTTCAGATTTTCTTCAATAGGTGTGGTTGCTGAGACAGAGATTGGAAATAATGTAAAATTTTTTATAAGCGCTTCCTTTAGACTATGGCCCGATGGTTCTAAAGCGACTCTCTTTGTAGATGTGTGCTTTTCTGAAGGTGTTGTTAACGAAGTCTTTGAGAAAGGTTTGGGGATTATAACAGAATTCATATTTAAAATTTCTGATTGAAAATTACGCGCTGAAAAGTTGTGGATTGCAGTACCAGCTTCAGCCGGGCCGACTTGCGTTAGCTGAAATGAAATCACGTCAAGAGTAGCTTCACCTTTTATCGAGGTAACATTGGCATTTGTTTCGTGGCTGGACCGGGCAGTGCCAGGGGAAAAAACGATAATACTATCTCCAACAACTGTTGTGAAATCGGCGAATCCATAATAAGTGATGGTAGAAAAATAATTATGTGCTGCTTCATTCGACTGAACGGTAGGTGATATCTTGTTGGATGCTTTTTCATTATCACTATGAAATTCTTTGTAAATTAATTTGCCATTACGACTATAAACCTCATTTCTAGCATCACGATTTGCATTCAAAACACTATCATTCCTAAAATAACCACTAGGCTCGTAATGATGTTTAACTGTATAAGTTGGAAGATCAGCAATTGGTAACACTTTCTCGGCGGGCGTTGTAGGAACTTTCATGTCTACTAAACTCACAAGTTGTGTTAAATTTGCTGGTATGGAGTAAGGGGAAGTTGAAAGACCTGTTGAAGGCATGAGCGTCCAACTAGGTTGAATGTCATCGTGGAGGGAAGCATGCGTATTTCGCACTTGTACGAAATCGGTATTTACTACAAAATCACGTAAGTTAAGGAAAATGTCATCATCAATCGCCCTCCAGTCAGGTTTTTCCGCATTAAACACATCATTGTGGCTTTGCAATAGATTCTTTGATAGGGTATTTAAAATCGATTCGCCTTGCGTTAAAGGTTCACCTACCCAACTAGTTATAACGGACGGTCCACTTTCGTTATCCTCTTTGTATAAGACGCGAGAACTCTTTTTGAGAAATTGTGCGTAAAGTCGACCACTATCAAGAGTTGTGCCAACGACTTGGGTGGCGTATTCCGTAGTAATGCCTTCTTGTATAAAAGTACGAGCTGTTGATGTCAGTAGCCCTATCTCCGGACGTACGTTAATAAAACGACCACGACTTTGTTCACCTCCAGTTCGCGAGTTGTCATTTTTTAGAAGTACTATTGTCATTAATTCTACACGGAAAATTTAATTCAACAATTACGCCATCATATGATTAAAAGAATGTGACGGTTTATATATTGATATATTTAAGTACACATGCATGCAGATGGTGTAGCCAGTATCAACGATAAGAAAAGCGCAGCACCATAAAAACATGAATGTACAAATTATATTAGTAGAAGTTGTAATAGTAGCAGTGATAGCCGCGTAGAAGTTTTTTAAGATCCGGCAAGAGTTTTTTAATATTGCAACAATCCGGAAACATATCGCAGTAATACATGGTTTAGAAATAATTTACATAAAAAGAAAGAGACAGAAAGAAAAAAAAAAGAGAAAGGATATTATGAAGATCATGTAATTCTTAGAGATATGCGGAGATTTCATGGAATAAATAAACATGTTTTATAAATCCACGTAAGCTATATTTTTTTTCAACTTAAAATCTGTATCTCTATGTAATTGGCATACCTTCTTCACCCAATTGCAGTGCTGGTGTCGGTTTGACAGTAAAGGAATCATCTGGAATAGATAAAAAAAAACTTGTTACTATACACTATACTATCAAGTATGCGTTGTTATCTTTCCTTAAAAGCTATTAACTGCGTGAAAAATATTTACAAAAAATTGTTGTGTGCCCACCAAAGGGGTGCTTGTAGAAATCCAGTATATCTATATTTTTGGTCAGTTTCAGATACTCAAACGAAGAAACTTTGGTGCATCTATCCATTCTACTTCTGTTGGAATTATATGGAATTATAACAAACTCAATACACAGTTGAGTGAAATATATCGACAAACATTAAAACACGATTTTTTCATAAATACGTTCACAGTAGCTAAGATGCTGGAAAAATTGTAAAATTTCTATACATTTTCCTCAATCATTTAAAATACTTAAAAAATTATTTGATCAGATCATTTTTACGGAAACAATTAACAAAAGAGATCTTAGAGATAATGTGTATGCGACAATCACTCCGATTACTTTCCTAATTTAAGCTCACTTCGGTTTATCGACACTGGCTAATTTCACAGCATTATTTTATTATATCAGAAAATAAGTTAACGGTATGCAATATATTTCATAATTAATTAATGGGGAGTAAGCGACTTATTAAGCTGCACTGATTACTAAAACAAAACTACACAGTTAAATAAACTTTCTCTGGTATAACAAATGTACTACTCGGTTTAAAACTCAAGTCCATAGCGAATCTCAGCCAAAAACAATTTTTGACAATTTCGTAAAACGAACAAAAAAATTAACACAACAAATAAATCCGAAACACTTGACAAATGACGTTTAATATAAAATTTAAAAACATATTTATAAAGACAACATACTGTTAACACTATAATTTAACGCAAAGCAAATTGTCTTTACAGATTTTCTGAAAATGCAGCGTTAACAAGTTTATTTTCAACATTAAGAGTGCGGGAAATCTCACCCCATAAACTTTGAAAACACGTGCGAGTCTATGTAATAGTTTCTATTCGTCTGATCTGGAACTCTTAAAAGCACAGATTTAATTTTGAGCAGTTGTATTCTAAAGAGCATACCTTACTTTGTAGACTTTAAAATATGTAGTAAGTTCTGTTCCATAAAAACTGCAAGAAAAGGAATATTAGAGCACACGAGTTATGGTTCAAAAGTTAACAACCAATGCGAAAGAAGTAGGAAAATTATATTCAGCTGTGAATTTTTTATACCTATCATTTTTATCCTAAAAATAAAAGGCAAAAGAAAATGAAAAGAGATAAATTTATAAATAAATATCCAGTGGGCGTGGCGGATTTTCCCTGTTTGTGTAGAAAAGACGTCGAAATGTCTACTATATATTTCTTGCAGTTTGTGAGTAGTGAGTAAAAGTGTAAAAGTCTGTTTACGTTAGACGTGTCTTTTGATCTATTATTCCGTTTTGAAAACCCGCCTCACCTTTTAAACCAGAAGAATGTTTACCATACCGACGACCTTACCGACAAGCAGAAGGGCAGGCAGGCAAACGGAATCTAAGTTTGATATTGATTAAAAATATAAACGTATATTGCAGGACGGTTGAAGCAGCCTTTTGATTGTAACAAAAGATTAAAAAAAAAAAAATTTCTATACTTTATAATATTAGAGGTAGCTTTGCACGGGTATTTTATTGTCGTTCATAGAATATAAACGGGAATTTTTGTTTTCGTATCTGCTGTAATTAATGAGCCATGATGAAAGAATCCATTTATTTTTTTTTTTTTTGCTTTTGACAACAAAAGTATTTTCAGTTTACGTGCACTGTAAGCGTATACTTGTAACGATCTGGCTTCTTTCAACACAAGACTGCGTAGAAGAACTTCCTATGGCTTTGCTAAGTTTGAAGTCTATAGCTTCATTTTGCGACTAGTGGAATATTCATCACGGACGTTACCAAGACGAATAGACAGAAAGGCGGTTGTCTTATATCAATGCAGGTTTTGATACAGGTCAGGAAGATGTATACACCCAATTGGTAGGGCTTATAAAAACAAAGTTAGGGAATGTTGAACCGCATATATTAATAAACCTCTTTTTTGAGCTGGCAAATCAAAATTATAATCGGAATAGAATTTTAACATTTACGCAATAAGAAGGTACTGTAAAGTAAATGGTGATCTTTTGCCCGCCGAAAAGAGGCTGTATAAGACCCATACAATCAGAAGAGTCGCGGACGGAAGACAAAGTTCAATTTTATTACAAACAATGGAGCTATCAAAACAAGCGACAAATCAAAAATGTGTTCAGTCAACACTAAGGTGATGTATGATTTATAATAGCCTTCTGTATATAAAAAATACATAGATATCTGTTTGGAATAAGAAAGACGACAAAAATGCCTGGTAAATTCATTGGAAGATAAAGATACCTTAAAAAAAGCCCTGGCACGCGCTAATAAGACGATCAAAGAGAGCGATGATTTCAAGCATAGCGCTAGAGTTAGGCTATTACTTATTGGGTATAAACCATTTGCAAATTTTATTCCATGGTCGACTGAACTTAACACATGTTTAAGAAAAAAAAATGCACTAGAAAAAACCTAGAAAAACCAAAACCAGAGAAGCTGTTAAAGAAGCTGTTACTGCTGGCGAAGCACTCGTGAGATATAGCGGGTATCAGAAACACAAAATTGGTACCTTTTCTAACGACCAAGTTAAACTTGGTTAATCAGTAAATATTCCCATGATTTAGGAATATATCTAAAGAAGTAACGGAAAAGAACAGCATTAGAGAGCTACGGGTTCGGAATTGAATTTTTTAATGGAAAACTAATCCTGTGTGTGATGACGAGTCTTTTAAAAGAATTAACATCACAAGTGAATTGGAGACAAATGCCCATTTTCTTATAGAGGTATAAAAGAAGAAGAAAGTTTTTTAAAGAGGTGTAAAAGTATCTTTTATAAAAGAAAAAGGAAAAGAGCTATATTTCCTCACTCCGTAATATGGAGTGGGCGCGCTGATTTTTTCTACTTTGAAAATAAAAGTTTTTGTCACACTGGGGTGTGGATGTTGTCGCCGTTTTCTGTGAAAAGTTAAGGTCCCTTGCAAATTCTTTTGCGAATTTGTCGGCGATATATTCATTTTCCCTAACGGGATAATCTTTGCCACAAATACCACACCTTTACGCAGACGGAAAATGTTTAGGTGCATTCCAAATTTGCAGCTGGCCAAGAAATTTTGATAAAACAGAACGTGCCTCCCAGAAAACAATGGTGATCATCAAGATCAAGTTAAGCGAAATGAAAGCAAATTAGATATTACCGTTGGCATACGCAAACCTAAGACTAGCAAGCACACGCGAACTGTAGCAGATAGACTTTGCAGTTCTACTGCTTAACTGGAAATAAATTTCGAGTAACCAGCAAGGGCAAAGGAACAATCCTCTTCTAATTTCAAAATAAGCATGTCTATGTGAGGATGTAATAATTGTACTAGAAGTAATGCAATTAATGTGTACCATAAGCCGAGAAGTATCTCTGTTTGCCACAAAAAATGATGGTAGTATAATTATACAAAAGGAAGCTTCAGAAAACCTATAAAGTATATAAGTTGATTGAGCCATGTCTGTCCGACCGTGTGTTTGTGTGATGTGTTTTGTCTTTGTCGCAAAAATGAAGATATCGACTTCAAATTTGGTAGAAACGTTAAAAGTGCATGCACAAATTGGTCAGAGCAGGAGCGCACATTGAAGAGTAAACTGAACGCAACTACGTTTTTTCCAACAAAAGTTCTCCGATTTTTGCTCGTTAGTCGGAAATTATTAAAGTTGGAAAGCCCCCCGTTTACTTTGTGAGGCACTCTATTCTTCACATCCAAAGCAATCGACCATGCCCATACAAAGTTACAAGTAATTAAATTTTATTTTTTTCACTTTTTTGAGGTTTGAATGAAGATATATTACTTGAATAAAAATGGGTTATATGGTAGGCAAGAGACATGGTATGTACCGCCATTACTTTTTTCTTAATAATACCAGCGATATGGATATTAAATAAAAGAACTTAGAGTGTAGAATGCAAAAAGTATAGTGGTGGGTATGCGAGATTCCGCGCTCGCCGAATATGACTTTCTTGATTGTTTAACTTTATTTTATGCAGCAAATATTGTCACAAATTATACATAATTAATAGATCATACAATCTAGGCTATATCTATTCCACTTACATTGGTTTTAACATTTAAGAACTAAGTAATTTTCTTGCTGAAAGGATGTGTAAATATGTATAGTAAAAACGACTTTCGACACACGAAGTAACTCAATAATTATAGCATTGCATAGTATTAGATAGGCAAACAAATACTCTGTACTTGTTAATAAATCTCACGTTAAGTTAAAATGTGCGTCTTACAAAATTTCATAATTTAAATATTTACTATTATTATCTTTATTCTTTTGACTCTATAGATGCTGTCGCGGTAAAAACTACTTGGTTTCGAGACGAAATTGTATAGGGCCATTTTTAGATATCTTTAACTTTTCTGAACTATTGAACTGCTAAATATGACTCCGTTAATCTGAACAAGAGATAATTGGAACAAGCCAAGTGAAAAAATAAAGCTGCAATTGGGCGGAAATCCTCGCCCAAGCTGAAGACCAATTGCTTAGTTGTTTTTATTGCATTCGTCAACTCATTTTTGTTGTTCTTTTTTGCTTAAGAGGAACCCATTGTCTTTCTTTCTACATTTTGTCTATAACATGCAATCGAACCAAAATTTATATTGTTATATTATTATATGATAAATTTATTAGCCAGAGAATAAATTCTAGGACTTAAAGCACTAACATCTAAGGCTTTCGGCTTTTATTAAAAACTCTACCGCACTTGAGATTTGAACCCACGACCATTGAGTTGCTAGTCGCGGCTCTTGCCTACTCGGCCACTCAGGCGCATCGAATCAAAATTGCTTCTTCATTTATTTCTAATTGTACAGGAAAATCTCTTATAGTTTGTGCTGGATTTTCGTCCAGTAAGTATTGAAATTCTTTATTTACTCTCTTTCG